TGGGAGCTCCACGCACCCTTGCTGGTCTCAGCTCTGTCTGGAGGTACAATGATGTCACCCATTCCTCCGGGGAACATCCGAGGCCAGGAGTCTGTGGCCCCGAAATGTTCTAATGTGACATATTAAAGGGGAACGTCACCCTAATCTACGAAATGACAACAAAGACACCTTTTAGAAATGTTCAGCGATGACAAACTACAAACAGATACTTTTTAGATCATTGCCGGATTTGTATCGTATTTGTTCTTTTCCTCCCCATTCTTCTCACGGCAGCCATGTTTGCTAAGGGCAGGTTACTAGATCCCCCATTACTTCCTGGAACTCTGGCACGTGTGACTAGGACATGTGACCATGCACATTATCTCGGGGGTGGGGGGGGGTTGGGGGAAATGCCTTTCCCTGAGATTTCCCAGCAATGCTTTGCTGATGTAATCTGTAACTAAGCATTGCATCCTGGGAAGGTCACATCACTAATGCCCAAGAGGACCAGGAAGTAGAAAAACAATCATTGTAAGTAAAACAAAAATATGTTTGTTTACCGAATGAATGTGAGATGATTTGATATCGTATATGCAGAGATGCATGCTGGGGGAGGGGGGGGGGTTGCTTTAATGTTCAGGATGAGCAGCTTGGTGTGCTGGCGACACTTCTTTTGCTGGACTATAACTCAGTGGCGCCATGCATTGTTCGGTCACCGCAGCACACCCTTGCCCTGCCTGGTCATATGTTGTTTGCCGTGTGCTTGAATCGATCTCCTGTCGGCAACATTTCCCCTCACTTCCTGTCTCAGTGACCCCAGAACAGGAGAAAAGGGGGGGCATGATGTAGTGGAATCAGAAGACATTGCAAGAAATAAAAGTTCGATGTTCCAGCTCCTTAACTGCGTGTTGGTGTTGTCTCTGTCCCCACTGGAGAGACATCCCATCACTTCCTGTCTTCTAGACACTCTGCCACCAGGACAGGAAGTGTGAGTAAATCTCTCCAGCAGAGACACAGGAAGCAATCAAATCTGACCGAGGGTCTAACCATCTCCCAAGTTGTGTTAGGAGTTTATTTTATGAGGTTTCTGATCAGTAATAGAATGAGAGGCGAGTGTGTGATGTCATTATAACCCGGACTGTCGTGTCTTCCAGGTACAACCATGCTGTTAGCTCAGTTAAACCGCGACTCGCAGGGAATGGCAGAGTTCACCGGAGGAGGCGGTGAGGGCCAGCACGTCACCCTGTGTCTGGCCGAGGCTGTGACAGGTACTGTAACCACGCGGCATCATTATTCCTCGGCGTCTCCAGAACCAACGTACCGGGACTGGAGATGAGGAATTGCTGAGAACCGGATTGGTTGGCATTTCCCCGATCAGATCCCACATCGGGTCCGCCACGTTTGCAGCCACCAATCCCGTGTTCCCATTCACCTTTTCCTCTTTTTAAAAAATATTTATAATAAATACGTGGGCTGGCTGCCTTTGCTGATCTGGCTTTGAAGAATGCTGGTTGCCTGGCTGTCTTGGTACACAATAGGTTTGACCCTTTCCCTGCCACAGGCGCATGGCATACGGCGTCACACAACCACTTCCAGCTGGCCACGTCCGTATGCCTTACGGTTAGGCCCCGTTCACACTGAGCGATTTAGCGCGCGCTAATTCCCGCGATATCGCGGCTATTTAGCGCGCGATATCGCTCTCCAATGCATGGCAATGGGGCAAAGGGTCCTGCTGTCGCGGGTCGTGCGTCGCTACAGCAGGACCCTTTTTGGAGCGGATTTTGCCGCGATTCCAGCTTGCTCAATGCAAGCATTTGCGCAATATCGCGCAAAATGCAAATTGCCCCGATACCGGTTTTTCAGTATTGAGCACGAGTACATATATCTGTCCCTGGGCCTAATTCAGTACAAAGTATATATATATATATTGAAATAGGCATTTTATCAGAGTCACTTAACCACATCCATTACAGAAGTTCCATTAAGGAAGCCATTTGGGGGGTCTAAAGACTCGCCGCCTGGCTTCCCGTTTAGCAGGCAAGCCGTCTCCATGCTCCCTCGTCACCTCGTGAGCATCGAATAGGGGGCCCCCTTAACAGTTAAAGAGACAGTGTCAGCTGTACATTCAGGGATCCGCAGTGCTTCACTATCTGCCTGCTGCAGGAGTTGTACTGCCCCCCCTCAAATGACAGTGTTTGGATCCTTTTTGCCATTCTCCATCGTGGCTGCTTCAACTTAATTGGCCATTGTTTTGATTAAAAAAATGGTAATTATTAGGGGTGCACCAATACTCGGCCAAATGCTCCGATACCTAGCCCGATACCCGAACTCCGAAAGGCGGACAGCGAGTCATTACACGCTGCCCGGCTTCCTGATTGGCCGGAAAGCTGGCTTCATGCTCCCTCGTCACTTGGTGATGAGGGAGCATGGACCCGGCCAATCAGGAAGCCAGGCAGCGTGTAATGACTCGCTGTCCGGCTTCCTGATAGTATCGGGCTAGGCATCGGAGCATTTTGGTGAGTCCTCGGCCAAATACGATACCGATACTAGTATTGGTATCGGTGCATCCCTACTTATGGCGGTGGCTTTCACCCTTCTGCTATGAGCTCAGGGTCGCTTTAGGGACCAAAAACTTCTATCAGAAGGGTCCCCTCGATGGTCCGCTGTAAATGAGTAGCTGCCATCATAACAGAGATTTGTATATAAATGTATTGCTGTGCTTTATAATGATGATGCCGTTTCCCGTTTTGTAGATGGAGAAAGCATGGACACCATGGAAGGAGTCAGTCTACAAGCAGTCACATTAGCGGACGGATCAACAGCATACATACAGCATAGTGCGAAAGGTTCAATTCCCTCACATACATTGCATGCCCCGCTACCCACCCCCACTTTTATAGCTGTCCCTGTTCCCTGGTTTGATCTTTATGTTGTATTTCTTTCTTATAATGGGCTTGTGTCTGTGCCTTGTGGTTAAAGTGTATCTTTGCTGTCCCCTTTTGTGGAGATTTTCCCTTACTTCCTGTCACGAAGACACAGCAGGAAGCAAGAGAACCCACCACAAACAAAAAGTGATAAACATTTTCAGTGTCTGCGCCGCAGCACATTGCACGCCACGTATAGGATGATAGTAATCACAGCTCTTCTCCGTAGATGACAAATTGATGGAAGGACAGGTCATCCAGCTGGAGGACGGCTCAGCCGCCTATGTTCATCACGTCACTAAAAGCGGTAAGTTTCCTCGTGTGAGAATTTGGGTATAAAAAGCTGAAATCATCAAGCTTTATAATTCCTTCTTTCCTCGGAGGTATTCATTCCGTCTGAGACCGTCCTCTGAGTGATTTCTGTTCTGCAGGTAAAGTTCACGGATCATTTTCCTGCAGATAATGTGTATCATTGCAAACCCGACATCAGTCATTAAAGGGACACTACACTCCAGAGATATATCTTAAAAATCCATTCGAGTCCCTGAACTCTGAGCAACAATGTATCTTATTTGTGTATCACTCGGCTGTAGATCCTCCAATCATCTCTGACACTGTCCTTCCTTCTGGAGGGGGGCTACGTCTGTTCCCCATGGTCCCTGTGTGTGTTGTAGAGTAGTCACCGCTCCGAGCTCCACCCCCCCCGGGATGGACTACAATCTCATGTTTAGTTTACTGATTTGTATTGAGATTGTAGTCCATCCCGGGGGGGGTGGAGCTCGGAGCGGTGACTACTCTACAACACACACAGGGACCATGGGGAACAGACGTAGCCCCCCTCCAGAAGGAAGGACAGTGTCAGAGATGATTGGAGGATCTACAGCCGAGTGACACACAAATACGATACATTGTTGTTCAGAGTTCAGGGACTTCAATGTATATTTAGGGATTAACTCCGGAGTTCAGTGTCACTTTAATGAACTCCAGGTAATTTTATTAACTATCTGTGCCCCTACCCCTGCACTGCAAGGTTTACCTGCTTGTTTTGGTCTAGGGCTGAAAATAACAGTTATGCTCGATCCTCCGAGCCGGCGGCCTGTGACAGTGCTCCACTGCAACAATGTAATGTCCCTAAGCATCCTCACATCCTATGCAATATGGGGGTAATTTATCAAAACTGGAGCAGACAAAATCAGCTTCTCTCTTTCATTTTAAAATCTTAACTGAACAAACTGAAGAGAGAAGCTGATTGGTTGTCATGGGCAACTTCTGCAGATTTTTGTCTGCTCCAGTTTTGATAATTACCCCCCCTGTGTATAGAGCGTGATGACTCGGGGACCTTAGACCACTGTAGCAGAGGTGGGGGGAGAGACACTCCAGGGACCAGTCATAGAGCAAGGAAGCTTGGAGGATCGGGTGAGTATAACTTTGTTATTTTAGACCTCAACGAGCAGCTAACCCTTGTAATGCGGGGGTAGCCCTACTGCAAGGGTTAATAAAACAATTACCCAGAGTTCTTCTTTAACCGCTTGCTGACCAGATGTTTACACCCCCTTCCTGGCCAGGCCATTTTTCAGTATTCGGCGCTGCGGTACTTTAACTGACATTTATTCCGTCATGCAGCGCTGTACTGAAATGAATTTTATACCCTTTTTTGGGGACAGATAGAGCTTTCTTTTGGTGGTATTTATTCACCACTGGGGGTTTTATTTTTTTACTATATTAAGGAAAAATTACCAAAATTTAAAAAAAAAA